TGTATGTATGTATGTATGTATGTATGTATGTATGTATGTTGTATGTATGTATTTATTTATTTCCTAATTTCTTTTAGGATGGAGTTATTTATTTCTTAATAATGTTTTTCTATAAATCTCTCTCAGTAATAATAATTCTCTCTTTTGTGGCAATTTCATTGCATAAATTCTCCATTCGTGTTCAAGCTTGTATACTTTAAACTGGCGAGAACTAGCACACTGACAGTACTAGGACATGTCTTTTGTGTACTGCGTTATGTAAGTTAGAGAGGCTTTGTTTGATAGGTGAGCTTTTCTTGTAAGAAGAACGGTTATTGGTTAGCTTCCTGAAAGGTTTTTTGCTTTGTGCTTTTCCTGCTTTTAAGGGGAAAATTGGCAAAAGCTGAAAGGACTTTGCTTGCTCAAAGCCTGCTTAAAATGTTAACAGGGTTTCTACAAAGGCTTTTTCCTTCAAAGGAGTGTTTAATGTAAATATTATTGCATGGTCTTCAGGACAATTTTTAATAGATCATTTTTCCTTTGTTTTTTAATTAATTAAAAATTCTGTTGGTTCATTTTTAATGTGCAATGTAGTGACTTTTAAGGTGAAAATTAAATTGTTTTTGAAAATAGCTAAACTTAATCAGTTTGTAATATTTGCAGGAAGGGTTAAGAGGCATGTGACAGGGAAGACAATGTATAGATCTAGGCCTGTGGGGAGGTGGATTCAAATCCTTCCTTAGACACAAAATTAACTGGAAAACTTTATATAATAAGATTGTTCGAAAACAAGAGATCCGATTGCTAAAAGTGTTATTATTTTTATGTTGTTCCTTTTGCACGCTTGCTGCTACTGATATAGTCGACATCATCCTTGTTCTTAAATTATAGGTGAGTGTTCTCACAGACCAAGTTGAAGCCCAAGGAGAAAAAATCCGGGACTTAGAAGTTTGCCTTGAAGGGCACCAGCTGAAGCTTAATGCTACAGAAGAGATGCTTCAACAGGTAGGAAAACAAGGTTTTTTTCAGTGAAAGTTCTTCTTTAAGCAAGCACACTTAATATCACTCTTGATTCTACAAACGATTTAGCTAAAGCTTAGATTAAGTATGTTCCTAATGATTAGCTGTACTTATTTGCTTTGTTGTTGAATTTTTCAGTCATATTGCATTATATTGCTATTCAGCTCCGATGTAAAGTGATACTACTGTGTACATTATTCATTACTATCTGACAGTGAAAATTCAACAAGAGAACTGGATGTTAAGAACCTGTTTGACTGGTTGCCTACTCTTTTAATAATATAGAAATTCATTGAAAGTCAGAGCTTATAAGCTGTTTCTGCTCAGTCTCCTTTATGACTGAAATTACAGGAGTACCTGAATTTACAGATTTTGGGGACTGGTTTAAATAAATGCTTAAATGAAATATTTTATTTTTAAACAAAATAAAGAATATCAATCTAAAATCTCAAAATGAAGTCTATCATTTATAAAATTATATTATATTTAAAAAACCCACAATTTTTATTCTCAAATCAAACCAAGAAGAAAATGTTTCTTTGCCGCCTGTTAATTACTCTTATTTACAAAGAATCTAAGCAACATAGCAGTTATTGAACTATGAAAACTTAATTACATAGTTGCCAGGTTAAAATAAACAATAACAACAAATGCTTTCAGAGGCAAGTGTAATATAGTGTGGCATTAACAGGTACTTACAACCATTCATTGTGGTGAAGCAGTGCTTAGAATGCAGAATTGTAGGCTAATTCTGCTGACTGCCAGGGGTTCAATCCTCACTGGGTCAAGGTTGACTCAGCCTTTCATCCTTCCTTGGTGGGTAAAATGAGGACCCACACTGTTGGGAGCAATATGCTGACTCTGTAAGCCACTTAGAGAGACCTGTAAAGCACAGTGAAGTAGTATATAAGTCTAAGTGCTATTGCTCTTTAGTGACCATTTGAAGTTACAACAATACTTAAGGAAGGGACTTGTGAACATTTTCCCCACGTACAACCATTGCATCATCCCTATGGTCATGTGATCAAAATGTGGATGCTTTGCAATTTGCAGTGTCCTGGGATCATGTCAACTTTTGTGACTTTCTGACAAGCAAGGTCAGTGGGGAAGCCAGATTTACTTAACAACCATGTGACTAACATAACAACTGCAGTGATTCACTTAACAATTGTGGCAAGAATGGTCGTAGAATGAGCAAAATTCATTTAACAATAGTCTCACTTAGCAATGGAAATTTTGGGCTCAGTTGTGGTCATAAGTCAAGGACTACCTGTAACTAGCCATTTGTAGGAAACCAGTATGGTATAGTAGAGAGAGTATTTGGTATGAATGGGAAAACGTAGTCCTAGTCTCGGTTTTATGAGGTGATTGTGTGACTTTGGGCAGTCAATCTCTTTCAGCCCAATATACCTTTATAAGTTTGTTATTGGGAAAATAGAAAGAGGCAGTGCTGTCTAAACATTGAGCTGCATGAAAGCTGGGCTATAAATTTAACAGGTAAATAAAATCAAAATTCCAATGGAGAAGCCAACAGTATCCTTTTATAACAAAAGGCATAGAGGGGTTAGGTTGATTCTATTAACTGAAAAATGGATTTCTGAATTAAACAGTAACGGTGATATTTAAATCCAGATGGGCTATAGTAAATAGAATGCTGGAGTCCACCTGGGACATTCAGTTTCAAATCTCTACTCGGCCATAAAAGTAATTGAATGATTCTGAGCCAGCCATTATCTTTCAGCCTAATCTGTCTCATAGGATTGTTAGGAACACTAAGAAAACAACAGCATCAACAACAAAAACTAGAGGAAAGATGGAGTATTTGGGACTTTTATTTGTTTTACACAAAAGCTTGATCATATCTTTTTTTTTGAAATCCAAGTCATAGAACATAAAAGTATACACTATACGATAGTTTACCTTTTCCTATGAAATTCAGGTAGTTCTTGGGTTACAACAGTAGTTGGGATCAGGATTGCTGTTGCTAATCAATATGGTCATAAAACGTGATGTTAAACGATTACATTGCCTAATGAAAGCAATCCTGGAAGTTTGGGTTGCCATTGTAACCCCAGGCCACGCAGGCCATTAAGTGAGAAATGATGGGGATCCCAAGTAAGGAGTGCAGAGAGAGTAGTATTGCAGACAGACACTAGGAAGCATGGTGGTGATAAGACAGAGCCAATAGAGATCAGAAGAATCCGTAGGAGAGCCAGGGAGGCATTGAACAGGTCAATGGAGAACAATGGAGGACTGACTGAGCAGATCAGAGGGCTGGCAGATCAAGCTTAGAGCAACTCAGAGAGCTGGCAGGTCCACGGAGCCATGGGACAGCTGACAGAGGCCCCAGGTGGGCTGACAGAGATTGTTAGAGAGCTACTAGAGACCATGGAGGAGGGGCAGCGGGTGCTATGGGCAGTGGTGTATTGTGAAGTCCAGGAAGTCAGAGAGTACCAGAGTACCAGATCCCTGTATTTATACAAACTTTTGAAATTTTCACTCTTGTTGCTAGTTTAAACGCGTTTGTTTTTGATGGCAAACGTTCCAATTCAGCAAATGTAAATTAAATAGCTCTCCAAAGTGGTCACAGACCATCACACAACATTATCTTCATGCACTGTAAACTAGCAAACATTTGTTTTCAGTGATGTTCCTTTAATGTTGACTCCAGCCACCTCTTTCCAGTCTTTCTGGTAAATTAAGAATTTCTCTGCGGTAACTTAGGAATTTCTCTACAATGCAGGAAGGAAGTAGAAATTATTTGTAAATTAAAACTGCTAAATGTTCACTGCTGTCTCTTTTCAGTATGAAATGTGCTGCCTCTGGGGGGAAACCTATGTATTATAAACCAATCCACTTATAAATCCCATTTTCTTTTTTCCCTTCACCCCTCCACTGTAAATAAATGTTTACATATTCCAAGTAAAAAAGGATATGTTTTTATATTTTGAACAGAACTGTCCACCTGGTGAACACAGCCAATCAGGAATCATATTGGAAAAACAATGATTTCATAACACCTTCCTTTGGCTATTTATGTGTATATTAATTTAAACCTTTAAACTACCAATAGCTAAAGCTCTGGAGGTGGTATACAATAAAACACAATTAAAACATATCCAATCCAATCAAATACTAAATAAAGATCCCATACGAACTGAGGGTTGTCAAAAATCTAAAACAATATGAATTAGAATACAATTTTAAAAGGCGGGAAATAAAAGATCTTTACCTGCCACCAAAAGGATGCCTCTCACGAGCTTCTTTGGAGAGGGTATTTCATTCATTGAGTGCCATTATTTTTGTCAAGGAACCCAGGGGAGGCCTCCTTAGAAGAACTTACCTCATCTTCTGGTTGAAAAAAAATCAATCCTCTCACATCTTCTTACTGTTAATCTTTGTATTCCACAGTTCTTTTAAAATTTAATAATTCAAAATTCAGTTTCTAGGACATATTAATACTTACCATCAATAGATGGTAATGTGTCTATCAGTGGTGGGTTCCTCCCGGTTTGGATCGGTTCAGCTGAACTGGTGGTGGTTTGGCGTCCTGGATCGCTAGAACCGGCAGCTACCCAAGCCTGCCCCGCCCCTGAACTGGTTCTCCTAGTGGCACCATAGGTGGCACCATCTTGTTTTTGGCTTCTGCACATGCCCAGAAGCATTTTTATAGTACTGCACATGTGTGCGCAAAGGGCGCTTACTACACGACCACAAGCGAACTGGTAGTAGCTGCCGGAACCCACCCCTGGTGTCTATTGATGGCTGACTTGCCTAAATGCCAGACCTCCAGGAATCCCCTTACATTTTTGGATTTAGCTTGGCCCTGCTTACAGTTCTCCAGTTGAAACTATAGTTGAGTCTGTGTGTCCGTGTGTTGTATGATTAAGAAGTTTTCATCTTCGAATCTACTTCGATCTACTAGTTGGTATTTATGGATGGACTCTGCAAGTCTTCTTCCCATTGCAGTGCTTACAGTGATTGTTGTAGATGTCTTATATTTGTCTTTGTCTTTTGCCCCAATGTGAATTTTCTGACAAAATGACCAACAGGCAAACATTGAGAAGAAATTATACATGAACATATATTATTTTCAGGAAGATCCATGGTGTACCGCTGGAACTGATGTCTAGGATAAAGCATAGCTCCACTTGACCCCATTCTTATTTATGTCTTATGCAGTTCTAGCATGCATTCCTGAGGCTTATGTGTTGCACTGCACAGCTGTACTATTTTCTGTCATGCACATTCTTCAAGGGACATATGCCCCATTTCTCAGCTTTGCTTGGAAACCTCTGAAGCTGCCATTTTGTTCCTAAACTAGAGCCAAGGTGGCGCAGTGGTTAAATGCAGCACTGCAGGCTACTGCTAGATCAGCAGGTCAGCGGTTCAAATCTCACCGGCTCAGGGTTGACTCAGCCTTCCATCCTTCCGAGGTGGGTAAAATGAGGACCCAGATTGTTGGGGGCAATATGCTGACTCTCTGTAAAGAGGCCTGAAAGGCCTATGAAGCGGTATATAAGTCTACTGCTATTGCTATTGCTATTGCTAAACTATTTCCTTTTCCCAGGACATTTTTCAGTTTCCCAGTCTGGCTTTTAGCTCTGAGCTTCCTTATTAACTTTCATACAAGTCCAGCCAAGCTCAGCTGGGTTGTGTCACGAAGGCCAGCCAGTCATTTTTACTGACATGACAACAGGTCGCCCCTCACCCCCTTTTCAGTTTTCAGATCTCAAAAAGACCTGACCAAAAAAAAAGGCATTCGTTCTTGATGCTATACAGACATTAATGGCCAGTCATAATTGCTGAAATGCCGCAGGAGGTTTTTAGTCTTTTAAAGCTCACCCTTTAAAAAATGTTCCTGTTCAAGCTTTTTTGAGTTACATTTAGAATTAGTGTTGAATATAAATGCATAATCCTGTGTGTTGAAGCGGTTTGCTCTGGCAAGTTTGGCTCTTCTCCTTTTCCTTAGATTTGCAATGTTTTAAACAGTGAAGAGGAAGGCTACAGGCCAATGTCTGTTACTGTGTAATAACACAGTCAGGTTTTTAGCTGCATTTGAGTTAAATGAGTATCCCATCCCTACCACATCTGAGCTGACACACAGTTCTTGTAAAGTGCAGCCTTCATACAATGGTGATTCTTGCTGAATTTTGCAAAACAGGTAGGATTCTTCTTTCCAAACTTTTCGCGAAAAGAGAGAACAAAATAGTTTATACTTTCAACAATATATATTTTAATAAAGCATATGTATTGTTTTGGACTGTTCCATTACATTATAAGGTTTTCTGCTTTGCTTCTGTCTTCTAAATTCTTAAAACCTGGATAGTTGGGGATTTTGCTGCATTTTCAAACTGCATTTTCCAGATTTTGTTATTTTAAATAAACTAAATATTTCAAAAACAATGTCCTGTTTTGGAACTTACAGTCACACTATGAATCCTTGCTGCTATTCTATACTTCCTATACTATTTAATATACCATATTATTACTGCTGGTCTACAATATTTATATATTTATTCAATGTATTTCACATGACTTTTTGAAAACATACAATTGTAAATCATACAAAACAAAAATAATCTCATGGTAGATCCTTAGTTTAAAAATCAGTCTTAAAGATAATATTCAGTGCTAATTTATAGAATTATTTTTGAGAAATATAATTTTTCCAATCATGCCACTTAGATTGCTTTTTTATGAAACCAAATTTTTTCTTTGAAGCTGTTTTAATTGATATATGTATATTAATATATATATGTATGTATGTATGTATGTATGTATGTATGTATGTATGTATGTATGTATGTATGTTGTATTTGTGCTGATAAATAAAATAAATTATATATATAATATATATAAATAATTTTCTATGGCTGTACTCTGAGTTCTTTGCCGTTCATATTGGAGTTTCTATAGAATTCAGATGGCATATATTGTATTTTCACTTCAAAAGTAACAACTCTGAACTGTACTTTTACTTCTTATAACTCCATATTTATTTAAGCTGCCTTCCAATTGCATCATACCGCTGGAATACTCTGTAATTTCCACATAGCAAAGTGGGCCATATTCCACTAGCGAATTGGTCAACGTAAGCATCTGCTTGAAAATGCAAGTAATTATTTCCACATGTTAGCAACTGTACCATGGTGATTTCTTTAAGCTCTACTTCAAATAATTTTCAGTTCAGTATATTTTCTGAGCCACAAGTGTCATCTGGTTAACATTTAAGAAGGCCTCACTGAAATATAATCTGGATTAAATAAAAAATAAAACAAACCTTGAGACAATGTAATTGTAGTTCGTAGAGGTATAGGACAGTATGAATATTCTGATATGATGTTTATATGCACATTCATATGTTCAACTAAAATGTGAAGTATTTATATATAATATAGTACCAGTGGAAAACTGCCTCCATACTATTTTTTGAGCAATGTTTTTATATAACTTTCTCAAATGTGGTGTTCAAAAACCTCGTGTCTATTTCTGTGTCATTTTGCTGCATGTCTTTCAGATGTTTGCTTGCGTTCATTATCTCATCTGCATGTTAAAAATCCTTGGTTTATATCTAGTAATCATCTACAGTAATCAATTTGTACTATGAGTTTGCTGATGTCACATAGCATATTCCTCCAGTTTTTGTTTTGTTATTGTTTTGTTGTGGTCCTGTTTCCTGAAACTTCTTCCATATGTTTCAGCTAGTGGTTGTTTTTTTTTTTTGTTTTTTTTTTGGGGGGGGGGAAGCTCATCGTTGTACTGTCCAATCCCTGGGTGTGATTTCCTGAGACATTAATGAGAAAGTTGGTAGGGGTTCATGTAGTAGTTATCATTCTGAATTTTATCAACTAGCATAAATTGGTTGCAGACCATTTTTTAATTGTTTCATTTTTTTATTTTTTCATAGATTGAAATCCATACTATTTGGCTCAGGCAGAACTTTTAGAAAACATAACCCGTCTTCAAATCAATTTGAAGCAAGGTCCAAGATCTTGTGCATTGATAATAGATTATTGATTAACTGTATATTTCAGCAGCAAATCCTTATGTTGCTTTTTCTCTAAAAACACCTTTCTGAAGACTAAAATAGCCTGGCCAATTTGATTGTTGACATTGTCTATGGCAACTATTTTTATATTCTTGGATAAATCAGTCAAAGTATGTAAATTGCTCAAGTGAGCTTCATCAAAGTGTGTGGTTGTCCGGTAATCTTTGGTTGTGAATACCTTGGGCTTGTCAATATTGATAGAGATAACCAAGAATTTTTATATCAAGCTTTATTTCATAGGAATATCTTTCATTGTCTGCAAAAATAACATTTGATGTGTGATAAACACATCTTGTATCAAATATGATACCATCCCAAACAGCGGACTACCACTTTACTGCATTGATCATAGTGTTGAATCTCAAAAAAGAGCAACCCCATCTTGCTTTCACCAATATATACAGGGAAGCCTTTGGATATTTTGTCATCAATGGGAACTGTGTCATCCTTTATACACTGTATACGTGAAGCAAGGGGCATATGGTTTTAGCGGGAACACTTTCTGGACTAGCACCATTCATACCATTGCCAATGGAAACTGTTGAATGCTCCTGCAAAATCAGTAAACACAAGAATAAGTCTGTATACTGATGTATTTCGTGAACAACTGACATTGTATTTCGGTCACAGCATCTTCTTCCAGACAAAAAATGTCCTGTTATTCTTGGATAGTTGTTCTCAACCTTTTTGAAGCCTTTGTTGAATTACTTTTGCAAATAACTTGCCCACAATTGACTCCAAGATAACCCTACAATAATTGTCTCTTTCTTGACAATTAAAACTATCATTACTTGTTTCCAAAAATGTGATATTTACTTAGACTACCAGACCATTTGAAGGAGTGGAATCAACAACTCTGTCTATCGCTACTATCTTTAGTGCTCTGCATGTCTTCAATTACTCCAACTGTTTCCTTCTTTTTTAATAGTTATTACCTTCATGCAAAAGAAAGTTATTTATTGACTGTAACATAAGACAGAAATTACTTGTGCTGCATTTAGTTGAAGTGTTCACTATTAGGCCTCTTTTTATTTTAGGACAAATTTTAGTTCCAGTGCTAGCAATCATTTACTCGCGGAATATAAAGGTTGAAGAGGTCCTTGGAGATCATGTGCTCAAAACCTCTGCCCAAGGCAGAAACCTTCCACTATAGCATTACTGACATGTGACCATTTCTGTTTAAGCACTTTCAGTGAAGGAGAGTCCACCACCATTCTATTTTTGAGCAACTGGTGAAATTTGGACATTTTCTCTGACCTCCAACTGAAAAAAACCAACCTTATAATTTAACCCATTATTTCTTGGTCTGTGTTCTACGACATCTGTGGATAAAATTGCTCAACTGATTTGATTTTAATGCCACATTATTTGCAAAGTTTTTTTAGTGTTTATTTAGTGCTCCCTTGTTGATACTAACCCACATTTTTCCCATTTCCAGAAAAGATGGGGTCAGAGATCTAGCTGTGAGAAAAATGTTACATGACATTGTTAGAAATAGTATCTCCATATACTGTCATATGACTTTCTGAAATCCTTAATGCTCATTTATCTTCTGGTTGTTTTTAAGATTGTTCCATTCAGCAATTTGTGGGAGTTTTAAACTAGAATAATCCCACTCAAAAAAAAAAAAAAAAACCCCACCCAGGATTAATTTGTAGAGTGGGCATAGATTTCAGTGGATCTTTCTGGAGAGTTTTTATTTTAACTATCACTACTATCTGAGTTAGAATGCATGCCCTCCCTCCATTAGCCACATAATTCCTTTGTATTTTTGAAATATGCACTATCTAGTCATCTTTGTGGGAAGAAAGAGGGGAAAGGCTCAAACATTTTCCCCAGTTGCTATTTCCTGCTCAAAAATCCAGTCTCCCATATATAATTTTCTAAACCTAAAAGAATAAAACAATTTTATTCTGGATGAGCGCCTGGAGAACAAACCTTTATTTTTAATATTTTTATTCTGTTCTAACAGTTATGGGTTATTTTATTTATTGGTGTTACATGTTTATTTGACTGCTTCTGTAATTCAAAACATGCTTAAGAAAACCATATACAAAATGCTAAAGCTCTTGGATAATAAAGTAATTATGGTAGTAGTAGTAATAGTAATAATAATAAATAACGAAATACAAGTAGTGCAAATAGGAGTCAAAATGATTGTGGCAAAAGAAAGCAAAAAGAGTTCCAATAATAATAGGCACCCTGGGTGCAATTTTAAAACATCTGGAGCACCACTTGAACACCATCAGCACTGACAAAACCACCGTTAGTCAATTGCAAAAAACAGCTTTACTTGGAATAATTTATATCCTGCAAGGGTAGCTTTAAACACCATCAAACATTCCTATCCTAGGTCCTTGGGAAGGGCTGGGTTGACAAAAATGCCAGATCCAGTCTTAACATCTGACTGTGCGACAAACCTTATTATAATAATAAAGTAGATCCTGCATATTCATTGTTAAAATCAGAAAGGGATCGGTAAAAGACAATTGCTGTTATTTTAGAATTGAATAACTAGAAAACTCATCTTCTCTTTTTGCAGGAACTGTTAAGTCGGACGCTGCTAGAAACTCAGAAATTAGATTTAATGGCAGAAGTTTCAGATCTGAAAATCAAACTGGTTGGAATGGAGAAAGAACAAAGCGAATATGAAGAGAAGCAGAACAAGGCTGAGGTAAGCCTGATTTGTTTATCTTTTCAGTCCCTGAAGCTATGATCAGAACTCTGCACTGATTGCTTTCCACATTATTAAAGCTGACTGCTGCCATGTTCCTATGCTGGGGCAAGAAACTTTTTATAAAGACTTCATTTCCAGCAGAGAGAGAGAGAGAGAGGATGGATAATATTCTCTACGTTTTTCTTCAACTTCCTTCTTCTCAACCAAATTCAAGATCTGAAAGATAGATTTATGTCAAAGTTAACCGAGTGTGTAAATTCCAAGTTTTTTTCTTAATTTTATTTTATGTGAACTTTTTTATTTTAGCATTTTGTTTTATTTATTTTTCACATTTTTAAACTGCTCTTTTCCCTCAAGAAGGGTTTTTGTAATAGCAGCATTGAGCTCTCTCCTCTTCCTCCTGTTGCATTTTCCCCCCTTTTATCAGTAGAGGATGCAAAAATGGTGAAATTTTGCTGAAGAAAAAACATGCAGATTTTCCTTTTTTAACAGAAAAACAAGTGGAAGGGAGAGACTGCCAAAATAAATGACACCCAAGCTATTTTTGTCTCTTTGGGGGTAGATGATCAGGAGATTAAATACAGTTGCCAGAACTGTATGCAGAATTCTATGTGTGGTTTGACCAGAGCAGAACAGAGAGGAGAAATAACTTCTTTTAAACCTGATACTTTATTTCAGTTGATGCAGTTTAGGATTGCATTTGTTCTTTTTTTTTCTGCAATTGCATAACTTGATTGGCTTATGTTCAGTTTATAATCCACTAAAATACCTAGATCTTTTTCACATTATTGCTGTCCAGTATAATTCCCCAATATTTTTTTTAGATTTTTTTTTAATCTCGCCTTTATTGTTTTTATAAATAAATCAATGTGGTGAACATATCCAATGTTCGTTCCTCCTTCTATATTCTCCACTACAACTATTCTCTGAGATGAGTTGGGCTGAGAGAGAGTGACTGGCCCAAAATCACCCAGCTGATTTTCATGCCTAAAGCAAGACTAGAACTCAGTTTCCTGGTTTCTAGCCTGGTCCCTTTGCAACTAGACCAACCTGACTCTTACACTTATGCCTATATTTTATCTAACAAAATGTAAGACTTTACATTTATCCTTATTGGAATTGATACTTGTTTTTACTTTCTGCTTTTAGCTTGTCAAGATGTTATTGAATTTTGGCATTCGCCTCGAAAGTATTTCCCAGCCACTCTGTTCTTATGTTACCTTCAGATTTGATCACATTTTCTAACCCTTCATACAAGTAATTTATTAATGTTGAACTAGTACATTACTCATCACCTTCCTACTGGTTGGTGTACACCCATTGGTATGTATTTGTTGGGTACAACTCTGTACCCATCTATAGGTAGCCCACAGTTAATGATCATTCATTCAGTAACCATTCGATGTGACGACACTGAACAAGTGGTACTTATAACTGATCCTCAAAGTCCCAGCCATTGCAGAATCCCATAATCACACAAGTGTGATCCAGGCACTTGGCAGCCAGCTCATACTTATGATGGTTGCAGCATCCCTTAGTTACGTGATCGTCATTTGCTGGCTTCCCACAAGCAAAGTGAGTGAGTAAACTGTCAAGAAGCTTGCATGTCAAGGAGCTTTCTGGTGTTTTTCTTGAGGAAAAATGGGGCGTCCTATCTATAAGGCCTCCTTAATTATTTCAGTTTGTCCAGTGTGATCTGGCACAATGGGTGAGTTGTAGGTCCTGCCCCCCTCCCAATTGAACGTTGTCATCTTTGTGGGTCTTGAAAGCACGCCTTTAGTGTAGCAGTGTTGTCCTTTGGAATAAAGTCCCCCCTGAAATCCATATAACTCCCACCCTTGTTTCATTCTGGAAAGCCTTTAAAGAGCTGGCTAATTTGTTGCTCTTCATATTCTTTTGGATTCTCTTTTTATTCTTTTATAGCTATGAGCCACCCCAAATTGATTGGAGCTGGACAGCATCCAAGTTGACTAAAACAAATAAATATTTCTGCTGCACACATGAAATTGGGTTTATCTCCCTTGATTTATCTCTATTATTTCAGTCAAGACACACACAGAAAACAGTGCTCTGTGGAGAAATAACAGATTGGCTTAAATCAGAGGCATCTCTTTCCCTTCTTTCTCACTCAACTTGAATCTGTTTCCCATTTTAATTCTGAAAAGAAGTGACATAGGTAGTAGAAACCAGATGGAACCAATGTTATAGTGGGTTGTTGTTTTTTCAGACAGGGGAATAAAGAGAAACAGATTGAAAGAAGATAGCAGAATCATGTGGCTCTATAGACTCTGTGAAATGGTTCCTGTGGCAACAAACTGTCATGAAAAACAAAGCTGTAATTTTTGTACTTAATTCTGACACAAGAATTGAGTGGTGAAGATTGTGGGTCACCCTGACTGACAGTTAGAAGCAGGGAAGGGTTTAGCATCTGCTTTCAGCTAAGTGAAAGTAACCTGTCAGAATCCCATCTTCTAGTTTGAAAATGAATGCCTGTTGCAGAATATATACAGGTAGTCCTCAACTTACAACCATCAGTTTAACAATGGTTCAAACCTTACAACGGAAAAAGTGATTTAATGAGCGGTCCTTGCTTATATGACCCTCAAAGCATCCCCATAGTCACGTGATCATCATTTGGGTGCTTGACAACTGGTATGTATTTACAAGAGTTGCAATAGGGACACAGTGTCTCAATGGCTCAGACGCTGAGCTTGTCGATCAGAAAGGTCAGCAGTTCGGCGGTTCGAATCTTGGTGCTGTGTAACAGAGCGAGCTCCCATTACTTGTCCCAGCTTCTGCCAACCTAGCAGTTTGAAAGCATGTAAAAATGCAAGTAAAAAATAGGAACCATCTTTGGTGGGAAGGTAACAACGTTCCGTGCACCTCGGCATTTAGTCATGCTGACCACATGACCACGGAGATGTCTTCAGACAGCGCTGGCTCTTCAGCTTTGAAACAGAGATGAGCACCGCCCCCTAGAGTCGAGAATGACTAGCACATATGTGCGAGGGGAAACTTTACAAGAGTTGCAGTATCCCAGGGTCATTTGGTTGCCATTTGTGACCCTCACAGCCAGATTCGGACAAGCAAAGCCAATGGAGAAGCTGGATTTGCTTAATAACCATGTGATTCACTTAAAAATTGCAGAGGTTTGCTTAACAACCATGGCAATAAAAGTCATAAAATTGAGCATAATTCACTTAGCCGTCCTGCTTAGCAAATGAAATTCTGCTCCTAACTGTGGTGATACGTCAAAGATTATCTGTATTTCTCTGTCCATCTGCAGCGGCAGTTTAATTTTGGCTTAGTGAGAGGGTTTTCTTTCCAAAATTATACCTTCAGAATTTCTACTCAAAACTTAAGGACTCTTCAGTTGAAAATATTTCCAATTGATACTGTAAGAAAAAATATTGAGAACATGGATTTTGAGACTTTTGTCATTTATAGTTGATTTTTAAGAACTATCAAGATTCTCTCAGAACAGTAGCAATACCTGATTGTTCTTAGTTGGCTTTGAATAAGCAAGAATCAAAGCTGGTTAAGTATTTGAATGGGAAATCCCAGGCTGTAGGCTAGACTGGAGAACTATCCCAGAAGAAGCCAGCAATGACATACCTCTTTATTGTTGCTATGAAAACAGCAAAGAGAATACTGCTATTTAATAAGATTCCACAATAGCCAAATTCCTGGGAATATTTTATGAAAGCTTGTGATTTATGAGGCCTTTGATACATTTTTAAATATAGGATTAAGGCTGTCAGTGCTTCAGATACTTTTTGGAAGAGCTTCAAAAATAGCACAAACGTAGTATTTATCTGCAACTCATTAAAGTAACCACTTCAGTTTTCAGGATCACAAAGCTGCGATGGAATGTTTTTTTTTGCTGTAGTTGTGTGATTTCTGTAAAAAAACAACAACCAGAAATGCTTTAATGAATTACAGATAGGTGTGAAGTTCCCTTTCCAAATTTTTGGAGGCATGTTTTTCCAGATAAAGATGAAGAAATTGCATAGCCTTAATAAGTAACATCATTTCTTTTTACTGTTCATTTTTTATATTCTTTCAATAAATGTAAGTTTTGCAGAGAGGATTCCTTCCTTTTACAATATGGCAGAAAGAGCATTGGTTTGATATGATCACAGCCAGATGTTGAGGAAATCAATCACAGATACACATTCTTAATGAGCTAGAAACATTTATCAAGCCAAAGGGCTTTTGAGTCTTCCCAATGCATTATTTTTTACCACTTACGATGTTATTTGTCATCTGAGCTTCTTAAGATTAAGAAGGAATAGTTTAGGTAGTTGTTTTAAACATTAATAGGATCTGTTGTGCAGAATGATCCCTACGCTTTTTCACTATTTGACAAAAGAGGACACCTTAATGCCTATTGTTATATCTCATCCCCCCCAAAAAAGTATGTTCTTGACTTTGTTTCATGTTGTCTCTAGATGTCATTTTCTGTCTTTCTTATTTAGTCAGTAGTCAACCTGATCAGTGACCTGCAAGAACAGATGTGTAGACTGCAACTGGAGATTAATAATCAAATCCAGGAAAGAAAGTCACACAGTAGGAAACCAAGTTTGGAGGCAGTTGAGTCTCAAAACAGCATTGAATGGGTGACAGAGTTCCCTTCCCAGGAGAATTGCTTTCAGTGTGAAGTATGAAGGTCAAATGTTAGCCTGAATCTATACATTTTTTTTTGAGGCATAAACTAAATATTACTAATCAGAGTTTGCTGTGACCACTTGGCATGAATTGATACTGTTTTTACAGAATGCTGTGTTTCATAACAAAGTAATGTTGTCTTGTCCTGGAATTGGGGCAGTAATAGGCCATGACTCCCAGTTGTAAATCAGTTTTATCTCCTACGATGGCTATTTCTGATATAAAATTGTATTGGGGATCCACCTTTGGATGTATATTTGTAAAACCGTTTTTTACAATATATAAGTAGTTTCAACTTATGAATTATAGTGTTATGCCTATATTGTACTCATGAGCTGTGGTGCCACAGTGGTTGGAATGCAGTACTGCAGGTTACTTCTGCTGACTGCCAGCTGCCTGAAATTTGGCAGATCGAATCTCACCAGGCTCAAGGTTGACTCAGCCTTCCATCCTTCCAAGGTGGGTAAAATGAGGATCCAGATTGTTGGGGGCAATATGCTGACTCTGTAAACCGTTTAAAGAGGTAAAAAAAACCCAATATCTAAGTTTAATTGCTATTGCTAAGTAATATTATCTAATTTGTTAATATATGAACATTTTAACTCACAGCAATATTAAAGCAGAGCCATGCTGCAAATTGTAAAGACCTTGACAAACTTGAACCGTGGACCCTATCCAAAAAAAATGCAATTCAGTGGTTAGAAAAGTAAGGACCTACCCATAGGCAAAAAAAACCAAATGCACAGGTATAGAATAGGCAATATCTGGCTCGCCAGCAGTAACTGTGAGAGAGATTTGGAGTCCTAGTGAATACGATCCAGTAGTGTGCTGAAGCTGCCAAAAATGCCAATGCAGTCATAGGTTGCATCAACAGAGGGGCAGTATCAAGATCACTGGAAGAGACAGTACCACTCTATACTGCACTAATGAGACCACACTTGGAATACCTCATACAATTCTGGTCACCACGATTCAAAAAAAGATATTGGGACCCTAGAAGAGTGCAGAGAAGAGCAATGAAGGGGTCAGGAAGCTTAACCATATGATGAATGATTGAGAGAACTAGATATGTGTAGTCTGGAAGAGAAGGATTAGGGTGATATGATAGCTGTCTTCCAGTAGTTGAGGGACTGTGACAGAGAAGAGTGGGTCAACCTATTAGCCAAATCATCTGAGGGCAGGATAATGTTAGCCAAAGCATCTGAGGGCAGAAGATTGTTACAGAGAGATCAAACCTAGAACTAAGGAGAAATTTCCTGAAAGAACAACTAATTAGTGGAACAGCTTGCTCCATCACAGGAAGTTGATTAGACAACCATTTGTCTGGAATGGTATAAGGCAGTGATGGCTAACCTTTTGGGCACCAAGTGCCAAAAGTGCAAGTGCACACACAAACACCCACAATGTAATGCACACACACACACACACTCACGCACCCTCCCCCTGCACTAGAGGTGAGTTACTCCCGGTTTGGCCCAGATGGGGCGAACTGGTAGTGGTGGCAGCAGGGGGCTCCGCCCACCCACCCGGACGCTTCTCCGCATGCACACACGAGCGAACCAGTAGTAAAAAAAATGAAAACCCACTACTGCCCTGAACATGCGCATGTGACCTCCGGCGTGCCCCTTGACCACTTTGCATGAATGCACTCCATGTGCGCCCCTCTCCCCATGTGTGCGCATCTCCTTCATGCACCCCCGCACATTCGTGGCAGAGACCCAAAAATCAGCTGGCCGAAGGGAGGCGCACATGCATGCATGGTAAAACTGAGCTGGGGCAACAGCTCATGTGTCCGCAGAGAGGGTTCTGTGTGCCACCTGTGCCCTAGGTTCGCCGTCACAGGTATAAGGTCTCCTGCTCAAACAGGGAGTTGGACTACAAGAGCTCCAGGGTTCCCTGTCAATCTTGTTATTCTATGTTCTAAGGTCTAGTTAAGGTCTAGTTAAGGACTTAGGATTTTAGGTATTATAGTAATTAATTATAGTTTTTTTAACCCATTAAGTAATTTTTAAAGGTTTACCTATAATATATTATCATAGTGCATCAAACTCATTATTTTATGGATATGAGAACATTACTGTGGGCCTCCATTTAAGGCGATGATCTTCAAAATGTATTTAAATTATAGGCATCTGGTTCCATTTATTTTATATTTTTTTGTTTAAGAGAATCAAATGAATGGGACAGAGGAAAGCCTCTGTAAAAACTCACTTTTCTTTTTCTTTTTCTAAAGCTCTTTAAAGTTAATTGCTTATTCTGCAAAAACATCTCAGGGCTATCTGGGTTTTGTAGAATAAACTTTCACTCTGATCAAAACCACTTTATATGTCAGGCTGAAATCTACTTTAGATAAGCTCTTAGAATTCAACAGGATAGGACTGACACTGGTATGCCTAACATAAGCTCATTTTAAGATTTATTATTAGCTCAGGTTTACTGAACTTGCAGTGTTGTTTTTTGAAACTTGGAGACTCACATTTTGGACATATTTGTTTTGCTCCTGTTATTTCTTTAAAGTAATGCCTCCACCTCTGTCTGTTTCATTGCTTTACATTAAATAGAACATAGTAAGTGGTAACATAAATTAAAAAAAACAAAGCTAAAAGAAACTGACCCAAAATATTATATATGTTATTTTCCCCAGCGGATTAGATCAAATAGGGTTATCATTTTTCAAGTCACATTGAGAACAACAATACCTAAGAAATACATTTTTATTGCTGTTTCAGTGTGTGGGAATATTCTGTCTACATAGATCCAGTCTATACATTCCCTCCTGGTTCAGGAGATACTTAAGACCTAGCTTTTCCATCTCACTCCGGAAGAATGCATGTTATGTTGACCACACTTGTCTTTTTGTAATTAAAGCTAAAAATGGAATTTGAAGTGACTTTATACAGATAGTCCTCAACTTGCGATTAGTTGTTTAGTGACTGTTCAAAGTTATGATGGACACCCCCCCCCCCCCCAGAAGGTACTTATTATCCATTTACAAAGTTTCAGCAGTGGACCACTCCACTCTCATATGAGTGCATTTCAGGCACTTGGCACTTGTCCCGTCCCCCCCCCCCCCATTTATGGCCATTTGCAGCGCCTCACAGTCATGGGACTCTGATTAATGCTATTTTTTGGGCAAAAATCAGCATTTACTTTGCTTTTTGGCAAAAATGCCCCATAGCTGAACAACAATTTTACTTAACAACTGCAAAAAAAAACCCCATACATCATAAAATCTGGTCTGGTCACATGCTTTAATGACGCTCATGATTTATTAATGGAATGGGCAAACTCCATTACTGTCATATGTTGAGGACTACCTATAGAATACCAAACACCCATATTAATGAAAGGAGATGAGGAATAGAAATTTATGATGTATAAATAAAACAATGTATCTGCTACATAAAATAGAATGTTTGATTCTGCTTCATCTATTGCAGTGTTTCTTAAACTTTTTCTCTCTCAGAGCCCCCTCTCACTTTTAAAAATTATGAACGAGCCCAAAAGAGCTTTTGCTTATATGGGTTATAATTATCAATATTTATTGTACTAAAAATTAAAATGACACATTTGCTTCTCACGAATGTTTGATGGAATCTGAATATTATATTATTTTTCAACATGTACTGCTAAAATAATTTTGATTTTTTTTTAACCCTTGAGAGGTTCTTGGGGGACCCTCAGAAGTCCTAGAACCATGATGGGAATCTGTGGCATGTGTGCCCAAAGTGGCACATGGAGCCATGTTACATGGCACATGTGGCATCGCCCATTCCATCCGGGTTTCTGGCGTGCATGCGTGGACAACTATTAGCGCGTGCGGCAGTGCCGACAACTGGAAGAGCTGGTCTTCTGTTTTCCAGCATGGGCATGCGTGCCGGCCAGCTGATCATTGCCCGTTCATGTATGCCAGTAACCGGAAGACTAGCTTTTCACTGCGCATGCCCCCTTGGTACTTCCTCTTCCATGTTGTGAGCCAGATGAGCATACATATGCATGCACACTCCCTTTTTGGCACTCAGTGCTGAGAAGGTTCACCATCACTGTCCTAGAACCACTCTTTAAGAAACTCACACTTTAAGAAACACTGCTGTACTACAATCTTTAATATTATCAGTCAAGTCATTTTACCATAACATACTGTAAATGTAACTATGGAATGTATTTGTCATTGATAATAATTTTTACATGTGATTAATATAGAGATGATTGAACTGTAAATGCACTGTCATTAAGAAGTCTTTTTTTAATCTTCCCCTTCTCTCCAGAATTTGTTACAGGAACTCAAACACCTGAAAATTAAGGTTGAAGAGCTAGAAAATGAAAGGACTCAATATGAATGGAAACTGAAAGCAACTAAAGTAAGCAATACAATATACAGAAACATTTCAGCTTTGCCCCAGGAAAGATCTGGACCAATTTGACTCTGCTGCTTGTCACCACTACCATCACCCTGCTCAGAACAAAAGAGAAACAACTGTTTTCATATTTGTTGATTTTAAAATATATAGTCCAATTGCATGATCCCCAAGATCTTCCACACTCTGTTTATCTTCCAGCAATATTCTCTTTTTTTTTTTTGACAGGCCCCTGCAGCCTACCTGAGGCAACTCTAAGTCCCATGAGACTTCACTCTTAAGGCGGCTTTGGAGAATGCATTATTCAAAAACCACACAAATGCAAAAGCACACCCTGTTCTCATGTGCTTTTTGGAGGGTCTGGAGGCCACATGAGAACACACCCCATTCTCCTTCCAGAAATCTGCCAGAAATCGCAGAGAGAATGGGGTGTGCTTTCAAAATGAGGGAGTTTGGTGTTGGTGATTGCTGGCATGTAACCCAAAATACCATATGTCGCCTTTGACATCTATAGCATAGGTTCACCAACACTATTCTATGATGTATATTCTAATTTCCAGAGGTTACAGTGTGCATTTTGATTCTTTTTGTTTCTGAGTTTTCTCACAAGAATGCTTTTGTGGGATATATAGAGAAATATCAGAAGGAAGGGAAATATACAAAGCCTAAATTGGCTCCTGCGAAACAATCTTACAGAATATTTCAGTTAACTCACACTGTTACAATGAACATTTAGTCTGATGTTTGAAATTTCCAGCTGCTAGAAGTTAAATCCACAGAAATATCATAGAAATAGAGAACATGTCAAAATAGGTACGTACACATGTACAATAATTTGTATGCAAATCTAGCTGCCAGACCAGGATTCTGCAAAGTGATCAGTGGGACCACAATATCCAATATTATTGCTGTTTTATTATTATATGTAGTACTATTAGTAGCATTTATTAATTTATGTTCATGTAATAAACACTTGAGGTTCAGTGAACAATCTGAAATTTTATTAAGGGCCATTGAATTGAAGAGTTTCAGAAGCCCTTTTCTAGACCATATCTAATTGTTCCGAAATCTGAAACAAAAGCCATTCCTCTCTCGAAACTCCTATAGCCAGATATTCCCTACATTTTAATTAAAGCAATAAAGCCAGGATAGGTGTAGGATCATATATGGATTCATTATCTGGTCTTCTAATCCCCTAAAAAAATAAAAGCAGGGGCGGCTTGTTTCTGATATTGTTGAAGTAAACAATTCAAAGTGATTCTTTGTGTATTACTTTATTGGCAAAGTGTTAAGGTAGAAATGACATTATTATTTATCTGTTCCCTTAGGCTGAAATAGCACAGCTTCAAGAACAGCTAGCTCTAAAAGACTCTGAAATTGAACGATTACAGAGTCAAATCTCGAGGACGTCAGCAAATAATGAAATTGCAGAGAGAGGTAATGGTGTGTGCTTCATTTCTGTTATTGCCAGATGTTTTAAAGAATCATATGTAGATTGTTATTATTTAAAATGAAGTGTCTAATAGACAGCCATAGTGCCAAAGAGAATGAAAACTGATTTTCTCAGTTATCCATACAGCATTTCTGCATTTATTAAGCTATGACGGTTGCATTCCCATATCCTGCTTCATTATCTATGTATTGTGTCACAGTTTTAATTGGCTTGCAGCAATTCAGATGGAATTCCCACTGCAATCTTGTTCGATATTAGGCAAGAGATACTCCTGCTAAGAGTTTGCTGGAGATAGACTTGCTTTCCATATTCTGGGGAAGAAGAATTATTTTTCATTAACTATACTATTATTACAGATTATGCAAAGTAACAGGCAATATTAAATGTTATTCTTACTTTTTCTTATTTACCAATATACATCAGTCACACAAGCAAAATATAGGTTTACTGGCTGTATTTCAGTCAAAAATTGTAGAAAGTTCTGTTAAAGATGCTTATTTGCATTCCTGTACTGAGTTAGGGATTGCAATTAATGATATGCATGGTCCTTTCCCACTTGATGATTTCATAATGTTATACAATAATTATTCAGCCTTTTATCCTTCCAGATCAAATGTAGATGATTGAATCTTGTTCTCCTATTTATGGGCAGCAAAATTGAATTAGTGGTACTTTACCATAAATAAATGAATATTTTAAGATGTTTTTCAAATATGTCTTGTTACACACTAGGAATTGATTACTTATTAAATGGATATGAGTTCTACTTATTTATAATGTTGTTGCATGCTTTGCATTAAACGCATGTTTACTAGATTTGACTATTGGCTAAAAGTTGCTAGAAATGTTAGCAAAGACACTTGTTTTTGAAGACTACTGAATTGTCTCTGGATTCCAAAAGGATCCTGTGCATTTTAAGTGGCTGAGCTCCTTACAAACATTCTTAACCCCAGTTTGAAAAGGGGAAAGAGATTAGAAATGTCAAGTATATCTTTTATTTTTGGATGCATATTTCAGTGGAAATGAATATAGTTATCTCTGCTGTTTTTTCCTGCATTCTTGATTGACTTTCTCCATTTCCTGTTGTAGAGGAAGTGTATAAGAGAAGGCTAAAAGAGAAATGTAAGCCCTGAGATTTCACTTTCTTGCTTTTCAAACAAAAATTTCAGCTAAAATACATTTCTGCAGCAGTGATTTATATTTTGCTGCTAAATCATAATGTTAATATATGTGAATAACTCACTATTGAAAGCAACCAGACAGCTATTTGAATTATCTAAACACAGATAGTTATGATGGTAATTGGGACTGGAATTTATGTCACTAATTGATATGATTGTAAAATACAATGTCACATGACTACATTGTTTAGCATCAGCAATCCTGGTGGTTCCTATTGCTAACCAAACCCAACCAGTTGTTAAGTGAGGACCCACCCTGATCTTCTTCCTAGGTTGGTCCCTCCCAGCTCCAAGCTTCAACAAGGAGTGACTGCCTCCTTTTCAATTCCCCTCACCCATCCAGCTCTGTCTCATCTCTGTCTTTTGGTCACCTTGCACAGCGACACTTCATAGCAGTGGCGCTATGGCTGAAGTCGAGGCCTAAGGTTTATCTCAGCCAGCCACCACCATCCCCAGACCATCAGTTCAATTCAAGTGTCACTGCTAATTAATGCTTCCTCAGACTCCATGCCATGGCCAATCACCCCAGAGCTACAGCACAAAATCCTGGCTACCCCTCCACTGTGAACACCACAGACCCACAGCTGACTTTTGTCATTTTCCTCCATCTGCTGATGAGGCATGCTCAGCTCATCCCTATGCAAGGCAGCTGCCAGCCATGCCAGGCCTTCTTCCTGAGGCTACTTGCCTGTGCCATTCTTGCAATCCTTTGGAAAGCTTCTGAGCCCTTCCATATCATTGTGAAAATAGTGTGTGCTATTTGAAGAACAACCCAAGCTGAGACTGCTGAAGGCCCTAGGCCTCTACTTTAGCCCTGACACTGCCACCACCACCAAGGAGTCCCTGTAGGGTAGGCCATGGGGAGATAAGTGGCTGGGAGAAATTGAAATGCTCATCTGATCATAACTGAGGACTGATGGTTTTCTCTCTCATCTTAGCCCCACATGGCTGTTGCTGTAGGAAAAATAGGAGGAGATAGGAATATTATGTATGTTTGTGCCTTGAGTTACCTATAAATGATAAAGATGGGATGAAAATGTAAATAAGCAATAAATGATGACATGGGGTGCTGTAAAGGCCATAACTTCAGGGACTCATAAATATCATTCATTCAGCACCCTGTAGCTTTAAAGAGTTGCTGAACAAATTATTGTTAAATGAGGACTACTTGTACTGTAAGATTGTGTTGCAGATAGCATTTTTGTTGTTTGCATTATCGGTCAAAAGAATAAATCTCAGTCTGAAATTAGATAACACTTTTAAATAGGCTCTGTCAAAGTCAATAAATTCCAGTACAAGCTCCTTATAGTTACATTTTGAGTATCTAAAATGCTCTCTTTAATTACATGTTGTTGATTTCAGTAGGTTTATCTGTAATAAAACCTAATTCCAACCCATAAAGATCTTTTTAAGTGCTTTTCTACAATGGGTTGCAATACTCTACCAATTTTGACAGATTTTTAAGTAGCAGCAGACCTGCTTATTGGATTGTAAACACCAAGGTTGTAGGTTAGACTGGATAGTTTAAAAAAATATTGAAATACAAACCACCATTGGCTGCAGTGAAATGATAGAATTGTATTAACTTCATTTCTAAGATACTTTTTTTCCCCTTTTTATTTCCAGTACCCATCCGGCATTTATAGTTTTGTTAAAAAAACAAAAAAAATGATCTTTTAAAATATTTTACTTGTCTAATAAAGTACTTCTAGAGTACTTCAATATCAAAAGGCCTTGCTGTGGCTCTTTTAGAAGGTTAATGTTTATTTGTATCCCTTTTATTATTTTTTTACAAATAACTCAAGGCAGCGAACATATCCAACATAACTTCCTCCTGCTATTTTCCCCACAACAATAAACCTGTGAAGTGATTTGGACTGAAGAGACTGTGACTGGCCCAAGTTCACATAGATGGCTTTCATGGCTAAAGAGGCACTAGAACTCACAATCTCCCAGTTTAGCCTGGTGCCTTAGCTACTAGACCAAATTGGCTTTGGTCTTAATACAAAATGCACTTTTTTTCTGTCTGGTTACTATACATTGCATGCAATTGTGTATGGCTTTGTCTTTCTTTCAACTTTAATTTTTAAGATAAATTAAAATAAAACATATAATTACTAACTCTGCCACTCGCTCAATATACTTTACGAAACTTTATAAATCATTAGAATGAATAATCCATGAAATTATCTCTAAACAATGATATTTCCTCCTTACTCAACTAATATACGTAACTAGCGCTCTCTCTTTCTTGATACTTTTCTTGTATGTCACGTTGCCATATTTGCAGATTATTCCTTTGATGCTTAAATAAATTGAATTGTTTTACGTTACTGTACAAAAAACTCTGGAACTTGGAAAACGTCCATTTAAAATTCCTCAGAATTGTTTGGGCAGATATTAGATTCAAATCCATTTTTACATCACCAGCTATATCTTTTTCCTAAAATGCTAGCAATTTCATGTCTGCAGTGAAGAATCTTCCATCCAGTTGGTAGTACTTACAATATTTCAGCCATTTGTCCATGTTTTATCTTTGAAGGGTGACTGAGCTGTTCTATTACAGTAAATCACCTTAGAATAAATCCAACATATAAATTAAGATTTTACATATAGACTAAAACAAGGCAACAAAACTGACTGCAAGAAATGCAGGCAGCCTCTAGTTGTTAGCAAAGAAATTGAGTTTTCTGTTTTCTTAGCTGCCATCTAGTGATAACATGCATACTTGCAATCCAATCTGGAAGAAGACCATGAAGATAGCCTACATTAAAAAAAACCACACAGATAAAAATCTTACATAGTGAAAGGTTGTTGTAGTACAGTATGTCGTGAATACTTTGCGCATAGCAAGACTTTACTTTTCCTAAAACTCCCTTAAGCAGATTCAAGAGAAAAGGATACAGTGGAACAGTTGCTACCATTTTTCTCTTGAATGGCATTAATATATTTTTTCCCAAGGACTTTTATATCATTTAATAAAGCAGAAAGAGGCAGTTATTCTTAGAAATAGGAAAGAAGAACAAAATCCAAACTTTATAACCAACTTTTCAAGTGTTGTTTTAAGGAGATGGATTTTATTTTTAAAAATTGACAATTACTCTCAATTACTTTGAGTTTGAAATTTTCCATTTTCTCAAATTTAAAATATTGACACTTTTTAATAAGCAACTAGTGTCTATAGTCCATACAAATCTGCCTATATACAGACACTTAAACATACAAGACTTTGAATCTTTTACTAGTTATACAATTGCAGGCTATTTTTTTTCCTGTTGTTTTTATTTTCTGCTGTATTTTCAGTAACTTGAATGTTGTATTAAAAAAAAGTGCCATTTTTTTTCCACATTCTCCTCCCTTATGTAGCTATCTAAACTTCTCTTTTCCACCAAAAGAAGGCTATTATAGGGTAAAATGCGGGGAGGGGGGGAGCTGAGGCTATTCTTTTTTAAAACATCACTAATTGTGCTAGAAGGGTGAGGGAGAGGAACAACAATTGAAACCTTCTAAGAGACATGTAAATGGGGAGAGTGCAGTAGGCTCATGGTGTCTTAACTGGGCTTACCGTCTAGAACAGGGGTGTCAAACTCGCACTGTCACATTGTTGTCACATGATGTATCATGACTTTTTTTCCCCTTTGCTAATATGGAGGTGGGGTGGCCAGCATGTGACACATCCAGCCCGTGAGCCACAAGTTTGACATCCCTGAACTAGAAGGTTGGCAGTTCATGCCGGGTGAGTTCCCAACCTTGTCCAAGCTCCTGCCCACTACCAGTTCAAAAGCATGCAAATGCAAGTAGATAGAAAGGTATCACTTTGGTGAGAAAGTAACAGTGTTCCGTGTGCATTGGCAGATAGTCATGCTGGCCACAGGGCCACGGAAGCATCTTTGGACAACACTGGCTCTCTCGGCTGGGAAACAGACAGGAGCAGCACCCCCTAGAGTCAGACTCAATTGGACAGAGGCAGTGGTGGGTTGCAGGCGGCACACCCCAGCACCGGGTACCGTTCCAGTATGGTGCTCCAGAGGGCCTGCCCGCCCACGCTCCTTACCTGTCTTTAAACTCTTCGGTGCTTCCGCGCACTTGCACAGCGCATACAGTGCCTGTGCGATGCTCTACCGAGCAGCTGCAGCATTGCAGAGGCTTGCGGAGGCGTCACTAGACGGGAAGACGGGGGGGGGCACTGCCCGCATTCATGGGGGGAATGCCAGGACCCTGTTGCAACCGTACCGGTTGTAACGGAATCCAGAACCCACCACTGGACAGAGGAAACCTTTACCATTTTTTTTAAGAGACATGCATGTCT